CAATGGATAAGGCTAGATCTTCTTCACTGAAATAACAGCAAAAGAAGCACAAACCTACCTATTGCGACCTCCAATGTGTCCAACATGATCCAAACCAAGAAAATGAAGAATCTGCATAGTAAGCACCAAAAAAGGGGATCCAAGCACATAGTTTAGACCTAATTGTAAAGAAAAGGGGATCCCAGCACATAGTTTAGACCTAAATAAGAATCATAAAATTGTAAAGAAAAAGGGGCAGGGAACAAAGGAGTAAAAGCCAAACTGCTTCACCAAGGTAGGCATTCAGCCAGAAAGTAAAGGCTCAACCTTTCCGCAAACATTCACAGACACTGAATCATCATATAGGCTATGGATGCATACAAACTCTAGCTAGTACCGTAATAAACATCCAAATATGAACTATTAAGCAAATACCAGAAGATTCCAGTCTGTCCTGTTGAGCTCAACATTCAGATGGCGAGAAACATTGTGATCCACTTGCACAGTGTCTTTAACCTGCATCAAGAATATCAGAACCAAATAAAATAGTGCTCAGAGAGGAGCATGCTAAAGGAACTATCATACACCCTGCTTCCAAAAAATGGAGTTTTCCTATTGAAGAAGATTGTTACTGCAAACCATGCAAAAAAAAGTTTACTGTCTTCTAGGCGTGTCAAAATCTTGTTGGCTCCCCTATTAATTTTCTGATTTCATGCTGCAGACAAAAATTATATACGTTTAAGTTTTACAAGCATCTATTTTCAGCTTCTCTTTCCCCTCTGTTTTTCTGACTTCTGAATTTTATTGTATCAATATCAGATGCAGATCTGCTTCAAAATATTAAGTTGTTTCTTCACTTACTTTTTCTATTCTAATAGGAAATGATTTTATCCAACTAGCTCAGAGGGTAGAAAAGTTCCCATCTATAGACCAAAGAAAATAAAGATGCCTCTTATGAGGAGGCAGAAGCACTCAATGTGTATTTTGCACACATTCCTTTGAAGCAAAGCAACTATTTTCTAAGTTCACGTAACTGAAACTAAGTAAGAAACTAGCAAGAAATAGCTCACAGTTTTGCACACTCAATGCCTTTGTAGTTTTTGACTAGAAGCCAAAGCTGAAGCTAGTAATTTTCTTGATTTTTTGTTTTTTCTAGTTTTGTTTGAATTAATGTATGCAGTATAATGTTTACAAGTTTGAACAACACAGGAATCAAGCAACAGATCAGAGACATTATACAGAGAGTACTCTATTCACAAGAAAAAAGCTTACAAATGACAGATATTAGCCTATAGAATATTTTCTCAGAGTAATTGTTACAAGGATGTTTATGTTTCTCAGTAATATCTGCTATGATTGCATAAAAAAACAAGATAAACAAAACTTTCCCTCAGCATTGCACATTAACAAAAAGTATTTCTTGCAGAGTTCCTACTTTAGTGGAACAGCTCTTGCAAAATATGTAATTCCATTGCCACTTCACTTGTTATTCCTCTGATACAAGGAATAGCACAAAACAGAATTTCCAATATGTTCAGTAATTAAAATGCATTTAGACAAAGTGTTAAATCTATAAAATCTTCACCTCATTGTTCTGGTGAATACAAGTTGAACATTCTAGAAAGGTACTATATTAAAGGCAGTCAACCAAAAGTGCATGTGTAAATCAAAATACAGATACCAGAAAGGCAGAAAAACTAAAACATAATGAAGTAAAATGCTTTAAATTGTGAAAGCAAAAGAGGCTCACAAAGAAACTGCTAACACCGTCATGCCTTGTGAACATCCCAGGAAACAGCTTAAGCCATGTGTCATCACCCAGCATTACCATTTTCCAGCCAATTCTAGAAAATTGTTCTGAAAAAGAGATGGACGAAAATTGCAAAAGTTGCTAAAACACTCATATAATTAGTGAGTTCACTTTAGCAAGGATAACCACTGACCAATAAGATTATCATCTAGAAAGGCTTGTGTGTTGAAATTGAGAGCAACATCCAGATATCCTCCAATTGCACCAGAAACCATGGCCTACTATACACAAAAGCAGGACTAAGAACAGTCAGACCACACAAATAGCAGCTTCAAATTTCACCAAAATAACCAGTTTACAAACCTTCAAGCGAGGCATTGTCACGGTAGGAGGAGCAGCCCTAGCATGGTATCCAATTGCCTTTCCCTTAGCCAATAATGATTGTGTATATGGCATAGCTTCCATATAAACCTTAGGAGGAGGCTTGCCATCCTTCCCAAGCACAAACTCAGCTGGCAGACCATCAATGACCTAGAACAAACATCACAACAAACAGGGTTCTCCCTTACGAAACTAATTCAGCAGAAGCAATTTTTACACAAATTGAGCAGCGTACCATTAGTATTAGCCGGTCAAACAAAGGCGGTACACCAGATAGTTGCTGTAAAGGAAGACAAAAATAACCCACTTTGCATGAAGACATAAACTTTAATAGCTAAAATGAGAAGAAAATATATAGCAAAAATTAAGTGAGTATTTTCTTTTCCATATTCCAGTGTGCTGTAAATGATGAATAGACTTAATAACAATTAGTTTCTCTTTTCACCAGGGTCCCAAAAAAGCTTTCAACAATTATCATCCTAACCAACAATGAAGCACATTACCAGTCTTAAGCTACTAAATATCCCAATTGCAACAAATTTGAAAATCCAAATTTAAAAGAAAAAAAAAAGAGAGTAAAGAACAGGGTAAACAGTGGTAGTCACCTGATATAGAGATTTAAGCTGACGAGGAGGTAAAGTTGTACTAGCATTTCTATCATCACTTGAATCGAACCCAGGTGGATAAAAACTCTCCAAACCACTGAAATTTTCGTTAAAAGAAAAGATGTAAACAAACAAGAATAAAAATGAAAAGGGACAATCCTTGATACAGGATGAAGAACAGAACTAAAATGAATCAAGCGGGAAAACTGGAAGGTTACCTGGCCCCTGAGAGAGTGGTTTTTACTGGGAAGAAGCCTATAACGAAGAGAAATAATCCAGTAATTTGCATTACAACTGCTAATATTGTCAATATTGTTAATCTTTTACATGTTAAGGAAGAAGAAGATGAAGAAGAGCCCATCATTTTACTTGACGAGAGAGAATCTAATCCAGCTTGTTTCAAGATTTTTCGCAAAGAATCGGAGTGGGAATAAAGGGAAGGAATGTATAGGCAAGGTAAAACCCCAGAAGCAAGGAGCACAAGATCAAGGAAGGGGTTTATGGAATTTAATTCAAAACGAGAACAATAAAGAAGAAATTTTTTTTTTAAAAGGCACTGCAATGTATTTAGGAAAAGAATTTTAAAAAGGTAAATATGTATGAATTTCCCTTATCGGATTTTTTTAAAGAAAAATAGGAACTTTAAGCTATTATTGGCAAAAAAAAATGGTGGATATGTCATTGAAACTTGGGCTACTTGCAACTTGGAGTTAAATTAGCAATTGTTGATAATTGAGGTTTAAAAAATACATTGTTTTATTCTTAGAAACTATATAATAGCTCATAGACAGGAAAAATACTACTTCATTGCAAAGTTATTAATAATATTTTTTTCTCCTTAGCAAATTACTAAAGCTTCTTGCCAATTAAAAGGCTAGATCAATTTCTAAGTTACTAATTTTCTTCCTTTAAAGTCAATCTTCATTTTTTTTAATCTTGTAAACTGTGATATGTCTATAATCAAATTTTTTTTTTAAAAAAAAATCTTCTACACTTTTAATTTTGTAAATCAAAATTCATTTCTATCTGAATATTGCCATTCTAGTTCATAGCACTCTTTGCAATAAAGAAAATAACAATTAGAGAGAGCCTTTGAATTAATACTTCAACTTAGAATACCTTAAAGTCTGAAAATAGCCTACTTTTTTTTATTTTTCTTAAACGGTGAAACTAACCTACTTATTAAATTACAAAACTTATTATTAGGGTTAAGAGACGTACATTTTTGTGGCCATATGCCTAGTAAAGTACCAAAAGCTGAATAGTCTAGGAAATAAAGTGTACTTGTTTTGTTTGGACAGAACATTTTTAATTAGGCATGTAGTCGAAAATTTTAATCACTTAATTGCTAAGTTTCGGAAATACTTAAACATTATGTTTGTAATCAAATAGCTGTTGACCATTAGATTTTAGGGTTTTGTGAGTTTGTTTAGGTAATTGCGTGAACTAAAAATCAATTCCATCTGTGTGACAAGAAGTACTTAACTTGATTAAATATCTTTAAAATGTGGAAGATCATGTCTATAAATGTTCTTAAATTTATGAATTTTGCGGTTTATTGGTTTTAATAATTTTGAAACTATTTAATTATATCATCAGATGAGGAAGGACTACTTATGCTTGAAGAGCAGGAAACCCCTAAGCCTGTGTTATTTAGAACAAAGCCTTTGATCAGCAAAGCATTTTTGTGCCTTCTTAGTATTGTCCCCAAAATCAATGAGATGACTGAGAATCATTTAAGATAATAGTCTCCAAGCATATTTTTCACCATAATAACTCTCTCTCTTTTTTTTTTTATTACCAAAATTTATTTCAAGATGTTACCCAAATCACACCTTTTAAAATATTTTTTCTACTACGACAATCCATCCTGACCTTTTTTTCATTACTACTGTTAAGTGTTTGCAAAAGTTTCATATTTTCATTACTACCATAAGCTCTGACGCTCTTGAATGATTTCGCGTGTGCTATGGTAAAGATGGCCAGCCTCAGCCCCACTCACGGGGGAAGGCGGGCAGATTAGGCTCAACTGCGGGGTAATCAAATTAGTCATTAGAAGTATTGGTTCATAACCTTGTGAATTATCATTTTGTTTCTTGAAAAATGTTCTTGCTTATGCTGCTTCCTCGACAGCAGGCTAAAGGAAACATATTATTGTCTGGATCCAGGAGACGTAGAAGACATTTTTGTTAGAGGGAGTGGCAAACACGGGCAGGATTATCAACTAACTATTAAGTGATTCGCACGACATAGGGAACCAAAAAATGAGGAAAATAACTTGAAAATGTAGCAGATAAAATACTTATTTACAATAATGTAAATCACAAAATTGGCTTAACATCCATCAACTTACCATCAATGCAAATAAGCCGCACACCATAGACCAAAAACACCGGCTTAAATGACGTCATCCAATAAATACCACTCAAAATTCAAACTTCAGAATCATTTTACAGTAGTGAAAGACAGCAGCACAAAGATAATCAGGACTTTACATCCTTCAGCACTCCCCCTTTCTCCAGTTCGTTTACTAGGTCCCTCAAAGCTGGAACCTTCATAGCTAAAGTCCTGTACAATCTAGAATACCGAGCTCGAGTACCATCCGCTGTCCTAGCAAGAGCAAGCAAGCTCAGAGACTCGGGAAGTTGAGCGAATAACTCTTTCATTTCCTCCAAGCTCATGTTCTCTAAAACAGTTGGTCTTGGAACAACTCTAACTATCTCGCTGCCCTTGGGTTCTTGAACCCGGGAATCAGCTTTAACCACCAATTCAGAACTCGAGTTAGCTCCACACTTTATGATGAATGGGGTTGTTGAGCCTGTGTTGAACTGCAAAACATTCCACTGTCCCACATCTGTTTCAACAGCAGACCCCATGTCTGCTGAAAGTTTTGAAGCATTTGCCGCATGATGAAGCTGGTCATCCTCCTCAGCAACACACTGTCGATGAAACAAAAGAAACATATAAACAAAAATCGCATGACAAAAAGCATTTACCCCAAACTTCAACTTCTGATCAAGGATGAAATCCCAACAAAACTTGAAAACGAGTGCTATCAAGTTAATTTGGCACTCTCACACAAATGTAACAAGCGGTTTTTCTAACCAAATATCAACATCAAAAGAAAAACAAACCAAAAGAAATCTTCAGTCCCAAATAAAACGGAAAAACATGCATACACATGCATGTATGGAAGCAGCAGACAGATTTTTTCTTTTTTCTTTTTTTTTTTTTTGTGTGGTAGAGGTTTGGGGGGTTTGAGAGAGACTTTAATCTAACATCAAAATCAGGTTGACAAGAAGTAATTATTGTAGCTGAGTAACTGCAGACCAACTGAGGTTTGAATTTGAACAGAAATACTCGCAAAGACATCTTCCAAACTACTTAAAGCTACACATCAAAAATTCACATGTTCCCTCACGGCATGATTTACAAACCACAGAATTCAAAGGCTGGGCTTCCAGAAGTAACTAGAAAGATATAATTTTACCGCACCTCTACAGCTTTACGAGCCTCTGTAATGTGTTTTCGCGCACAAGGATGATCAATATCAAGTAGAGAAGGCATTCGATCTGCAAGTTCATCCAAAGATGAAAGCATCGATCTCTTCTTACTCTTACTCAGTTTTCCTGCTGAAGACTGCCTCATTATATCCTGTGAAAACACAGCCTGTTAGTCTTGCAACCTCATTCATTCACTGCAACCTCGCCTTTCATCACTAAATACTGGAGGCACATGCCTGTCTGAATCTGTTACACGTGTGTGTGTGTGTGAGAGAGAGAGAGAGAGGCAGAAAGAATTTAAGAACCTTCACTTGCTTCAGTATGCCATCAAGGGAAACTAAAGAAGCTAGTCGTGCATCCTCAGCTGCAGTTGAAGGATTCCTGATGGGTGAACCACTGTCCCCTAGAGTCACCAATGCTATGTCACTTCTCATTTGTTGCAAAATCTAGCAAATGAAACAAGTCACTTAGATTTTAGATGACAAAGGAAGTTTCTCTGGGAACCAAATTTATAAATCAAAAGGCTGATATGATCATGTAAAAAAGAATCTTCAATCAATAGCTTGATATGTAGAAACTACCCATCAGAAAGCAAGATGGATAATCTTCTGGTCAACAGGAATGTCCTCTAATTTCAATGTTGATTTTGTACATCAAGAAACATCCAAATACTCCATGTTATAGATGAACACAATAGAAAGACAAACCTAGCATGACTAAATGCTGACAAGTAATTTGACGGACACGGGCAGCGAGAATTAAGTTGGGGCACCATGAATTTCTATATTCTCTTCAACAAAACATTGCACTCTGAAATGGGCCTAACACTTCCACATTTCCTCAACAGGTGGTGCTTGGGACATAAAAGCTATCAATTTTTCAATTTAAATTTCCCTCTTTTCCAACAATGTTCACGTAATTTGGAAATGAAATAACATTATACTAGCACAATTTATATCAGAACCAGAGACTGTAAAACCTCAATATCCTACAAATTCAAAACATTGCATTAGATGGGCCTAACTCTTTTAGTGCAGTAAACAATCTGCAGGATAAAATCTATGGCTAACTGATTATATGCGGGAAAAAACAAGAATATGAAATGAAGATACCATAAACAATAATGAAATGACTATACTACCCATGATATGAACAAGAAAAATAAGTTTCAGAAACATCACTTTTGAGCAATTAGGTTCTTAGGAACTGAAAATTAAGCACTGTAACACAGGACAATTACATATAGCTTGTAAATTCAGCCAAAATTGTGATTGGGAAGATTATTAGCATCCTTTACAACTACGAGCCAGTTAAGATTTGTATAAACTTGACAATGAACTGCAGTCTGCAGAGGTGCCATAGATTTTAGAAATTGACTTTAGAGTTTATCTACTTATTTGCAATAGGAGAAAAAATAAGGAAAAAAAAACCTCAGAATTTTTAATTTTCTATAAGATTTTCCCCAGAAATTGTCATTTTTAAATACAGACCCACCTTCTGTTAACTCACCTTCGAAATTGCCATAAAATAGTCAAAATTGGTATAGATCTAGCCGAAAATTAATGGGATAAGTACAACTTTTACTCTCAAAATTTATTGATAAACAAATGCTTCTAATCACTGAACACTAGCTAAGTAGTTCAGTAAGGTTTTATATATATATATATTACAGAACTTGAATTTCTGCTACCTTTCTTCTCTTGTGATCAACGGACTCTAGGGCTGATCGCAATTTAGCTACTTGAGCAGAGTCCTCTGCTATTTCAGTTGCCAAGGTACCAGCAATATCCTGGCAAGGATCAAAGTTACATAAGCAAGTACCAAGAATATTTTAGAAGAGATGCAACATGGTCTTATTCTGCTCTACTGGAATTTATTAACAAAAAAAAAAAAACAACAACAACACTCTTAGCTGCCAATCAACAGCAGCAACCCCATTAAAAGGTGCATCCACAAGAGAAAACAGGAAATTTCTCATCATAGACTATGATGGAAAAATTTTACAAGCCAAGGAATGGAACTGACACAGCTGAGCTGACCAAGAGATTGGTTGGCTACCATAGGCAGAATAGTGGTAAAAACATAATCCAGCTTTGTCCATGGCACAGAACTGGTAACTTTGAAAAGAGCATTTGCTCATGCAAGTCACAAACTTATATGGCGAGAAGAACTAATGGAAATGGAAAATTACTCATGCAGTTAGGTCATCGCTTTTAGTCCATTAATTTGTCATTGGGATTCTGAAAAGTACTTCAGAAATGGGGAGGAAAACCAAAAGAAAGTGCAGGGATTATACAAATTAGCAGTGGATCATAAGAGTAATCATAACTCTCAAAAACCAAAAGAAAGTGCAGGGATGATACAAATTAGCGGTGAATCATAAGAGTAACCATAACTCTCATGAGTTCGAATGCAAGCAACTAGTGGTAATAGACTTGACACAAAGAAAATTGCTCAATACACACCTTCAAATGCTGCAGTTGAGAATTATAAACTCGTTTTGCATACTCAGATAAGAGCTGCCCCAGAGCATCAGTACTAGGAGGTTGAGCAGCACCAAGTCCAGCCATCCAACCATCCATTATTGCAGTAGAAAGAAGCTCTAGCTGACCAGTTGCTCCTCCAACCGTATCATCAGTCACAGAGAGAAAATCAAAGTTTTCAGCTAGCCAATTCCGGATCTGACGCTGTAACTCACCAGCTGGAGTATGAACAAAAAGCGCTGCAAGAGCCCTATTTCCAACAGCAAAACTTTTGGCTTCTTCAGTTATTTCTCTCAGCTTTCCACCAGTTACATGTTGTCTCCATGTTTCCTGCACAATTATGTCAATCAAGCCCATGGATCATAAGCAAATAGCTGAATCTGAAATGTGTTCATAAGCAAAAACATAACAATTAAATAGCATAAAGAATGCATAGCCTATGTAAAAGGTGCACCGGGAGAACAACCTTTAGAGCCCCCATTTGATGGAAATCAGGATTATATTTATCTTTGTAAGAGAGGTTAGCTCTATGATGTCTTGTTATCAGTTGCAGCACCAAATTTCTATTTATTAGCAATTTATGGACAGTAGCAAAGACAGTATAACCTTTTGATGAGGCCTTTAATGCCTACAAAGTATAATAAATGATGGCAAAATTAATCATGTGGGTCCTACTTGATGGCAGATTTGGCCACCAATGGTCAGGAAGCATATCACCTATTCCACGAGAAGAGATATCGACACACCATGTCCCAAGGGATGTGCAATTGGTATCTGTAGGTGTTTATGCATCATTTCACCAAGCCAACAGGTTAATTGGCAATGACAGTTCCAATTAGAAAAGAAAAGCAAGACAGAGTTGACAAGATTGCCAAGCACCATTACCAAAATCAAAAGAAGAGGATGTATAACAGTGCCAGATGGAATTCTGATTTGAACTTACACCAACTAAAATTGTCAGATCTAGTGGAAACATAAACCAAGTATACATCATGTTAACAAAGCATTCACACTGGATCCGTTTGGTTAGCATAATTTGCCAAAAAAAAATAATAATCATTCAAGTGTTATGCAGCTTGCATCATATACACAATTTACAAACACCTTTTTACCTCACATAAAAGTATACCATCAGTGGGAACTTTGCTTTCTGGTTGGGAAGTGTCTCTGTCCCTTTTACTTCTTATTACTCTTTTCATTCACTTTTTCTAACATTTCTAGTACCAACTAATTCATTCAGGCGAGACATCTTATGATGTCATGATGCGCCCATTCCTATGGCCATTCCTTTAATACTTCTGGCTCTTGGGAGTCTCTTTGTAGGATACTTGGCCAAAGTGTGACCTGTTAGCCCATAAGTAAGTACTGTAACGAAGCGGCTGTTGCTCACCCGACACCATCGTGCAAGGTCACAATTCACCCAACACAATCATCCGTTTGGCTAGCATAATTTGCCAAAAAAAAAAATAATTCAAGTGTTATGTAGCTTGCATCATAAACACAATTTCCAAACACCTTTTTACCTCACATACATCACATCACAAAAAGTGCTACACTGTTATTCCAAATAATTTTTTCAAAATAATCTCCTACCCAAACACAGGCATAGGTTTTATGCATAATGGCACCATTATGCTGTATAACTTACAGGCCAAACCCGACATCCTACTACCCCTTCTGGACAAGGAAAACTAAAAGTTGGAATCAAAATTGATCATAATTAAGAACAAAGTAAAAAGCAGAAACACCCAAAAAAAAAACAGATAGTATTCACCTGATCAATACCGCGTATCTTCAAAACTACTGATGACAATTTTGACTTCTTTTCTGGCTTAATATTTACTTTAAACCCTTGAATTTGATCCTCTACAAGAGCATTCCTCGAACCAGAATCATATCGGACGGGAGATCTTCCAGGGCTGCTACCACGACTAGAACTTCTGCTTCTTCCACTATTTGCTTTCTCCAGAAATCGCTCAACTGGTGGAACCTAACACCAGTTTGGTACAATTAGACAGGAAAAACCTTCAAAAAAAATGCAGATTCTAGCACATTTGTGTAAGAATTCTGAAAGGTGAAGGCAAAATTCTTGAATACCTTGATAGACTGCAGCTCAGGTGACCTAGCAAGCAGAGATCTGATATACAGAATTCTAACCCGAGAAACCAGCATGGTGTCCATCACCCTTTTTGGCTCCATTTTACGAATAAAACCAAAAACAGCATCTCGTATTTCTGCCAGTATTTCATGCTCCCTAGAAGCGCCAGCTTTAATGACAGCAGCCAAAACCTGCAATGTTGAACGTATAGTCATTAGCGCAGATAAAGAAAAATACTGGAAACAAACAACAATTCAGCAAATTATAACTAACCCGAGGAAAGTTTTCAACATCATGGGAGAGTTAAACCACAGTACAATAATTACAATAACTGAGTTGCATCATCAAGATTGGGTTCAGAAAGGAAAACATGCAATAAGATATCCAAAAAGAGAATCAAGGAGCAATCAATGCATCAAAAAGCTTCTCAATGCACTCAGTTCTAATTCACGCTCAAAGAATGCATATAAAGTCGCAACAATATCAGCTTCAGCATCTGCATGGTTAATATTATACTTCTCAATTCAGCTAACAGATAAAAACTTTTAACTTGATAGCTTATCATAGCCAATCCAAAGCTAAGGCACACTACTAAATGTTGACGACCAGCATCAAGCGCCTCAGATGTGCAAAGACACAGAAATAGTGAAGTGTCTAAACACTAAACCTAACGAAGCAGGGGAATACACACATCTTTCAAGTCACAGGCATGCTCATAGAAAAATAATTTGTATTCATGACCACAAAGCAAAACAATGTTATACTCCTTTCATAAGCATTCAACAAAAGCTACAGAGACAGACAAGAGTGTATGAAGATGAACACAGCAAGAGACCAGATACAGGACACCCTTCCAGCAACTTCCCATTTTTTCTGCATCGTCCCAACAATCTCGAACAAGGCTTCTCTTAACACAACTCATTCCAAGCCAGCAGAACCAAAGAATTTAAACAAAATTCATGATTTGCCTCCTCTCCTATTATAACTTAATAGTAATGCATTCTCTGAGGCATCCTTCTGTATTTAGACCCAATAGGCCCAGGAATGATTGGTTGAGTATTTAGTAAGATACTTGATTTAAAACTTATTATAGTCACATATCAACAACACTGCATATCAAATACTTTCTTCTTTTTACTAAAAATGCTTGCCCAGGTTTTAGCATTTTTGTTAGGATTAATAACACATTTTACAACACCCAAAAGATAGCTGCCGGAACAATACAATTGCCTGACTGGTTTTGAATCAATAGAAAGTAATCACAACAATGACAATTAAGTAATCATCTTGAATGTAAAAGATCCTCCAACTCCATAGTCCACTTCAGACAGCAGTCATGGCAAAATGATTTGTATCTTACCAGCATCAAAAGTTTATTTGCGCCATCTGAAATTGCAGCTAGACTGTCATACTGTTCAGGATCAAAATCGTTCAAAGCAGAAGTAAGATATTCACCAGCTGGCGTGGTCTTTACTTTCTCAACACCTGATTTAACCAAAGCAACTGTGCCTTCAGTCTTATCTGAGGCCAAAGGTGAAGGAACAGCTACAGATCGCCCTTTAACATTATTATTATCATTTCTGCAGGAAAATTTAGGAAAAGTTAAAATTTTTAAAATGACAAGAATCAACAAGCTTAGTTACAAAAAATGCTTAGTCAATTACATAATAACTCTGAAAACCAGTTTCAGACAAGTACCTTGCCATGTCACGAGATGTAACCTCTTGTCCTCCAGGGGATGGGCTTGAAACCTAACAAAGATGGACAATGAGGTGAGGTAAGATTTTCTGGCGTCAAGAGTAGCAAACACTAGATGTCCAGAGGTCCAAATATTTTTCAGTGAATAGGATATAGCATGTCAGGCAGCTAAGATTACTTCCATTTCTGAAAGGGGCAGCATTCAGCCATTCAAAATAGCTGTCCCATTTAAAGCTCAAAACTAACATAAATTAATAACAGCTAGTTTGATGATCAGCCAATGACTACAAAAATCCATCTCGGTATCAAGAAGCAGGAATTCAAGCTAAAAAAATTCAGTCATAGAAGTCCACCCCCAAAATAACAAATTAAAGGATGGAAAATTCAACTTAAATTGCAAGATGAATCAGTACCTGCAGTGAACCAGCTGAAGTCGATTTTTCAGTCAATCTGTCAAAAAGTCTCTCATTTTCTTCATGCAACCTCTGCAAAACCAGAGAATTTAACCAATATGCAGGTGACGTGATTTCAACAAGAAAGAGGATCACTCATTCGAAACAAGAAATAAGTATAAACCAAATTGTGTCAAATGTCCAGAGGCAATAAATAAATCGTGTCAATAACAGCACAAGGAGACAAAATTCAAACTTCCAGAATACATTCTATGACACTCAAACTCAATTTCTCATATTTATTCTTTTGCATCTCAGTATTAACCTAGACTTCTGTAGCTTTCTATTAACCATGCATCTCACTATTACCTATTTCTGTATTTTTCTTTTCACCATCACTCAACATTCAGCATACTTCCACTTTTCCCCGTTTTGGAGGCATCTCTTTCCTAAGAGCTAGAGCAGCAGACAGGTCCTACATTGATGGCTATCTGTTAGCCAATATAAAGTTTCAATATGCTAGACCATTTTGGACATTTTGACTAGCACACAGCTCAGAAGTATTTAGCCATGGAACTACATTTTGTATTTAACTTCCCTATGTTCGCACACAAAGTTCATATTGAAACAAATTTAAGGAGAAACTTGATTCCTAAGCTGGGTATTTTGCTCTTTCTCTATTCTGTGCTTATCAGCAAGCATAATATTCTCTGACTGCAAGAAATAGGAAAAATGAAGCAGTTCAGTGAAAGAATTTTTTGGCATGGAACAAAAAAAAAAAAGCTAGTAAGAATAGTTCATAATGGAACTTAAAAAGTACATAATTAAGAAAGATACTTCCCACACCACTAAATGAACTCATATCGGTCATTTCAACAGAATTAACAGGCTGAAAACATCACATTGGAAAAGGAAATCATAAACTTCTAAGAAGTCATTGTATTTAGAACAAAAGAAGAAGAGCACCATCCCATGGCCAACCTTAACCACTTTCCTAGCGGGTGTTAAATTATTGTAACAGATACAAATCTCCCATGGCCAACCCTAACCAGTTTCCGACCAGATGTTAAATTATTGTAACAGATACAAATCTCCTATGCCCATAAATGTAAACTCTATATGAATATGAGTTAACATAATGCAACAGATTACATGACTACCTTTCCTGTTTTATTAGGATAAACATGAGTGAATCAAGATCATTCTTTTATATTGCAAGATCAATTAGGACGTGTTGCATAAACATTTCAGAAAGCTAGAACAGCAGCTGATTTTCTTGAAGAACTGGTTCACAGTTTTGAGCAAACAGTAGTTTTTAAAGATATCTGCAGCTCCCAAAGGAGTTCAACGGACCAATTAGGCGAAGGCAATGGTTGTTACTATGTTAAAATTGGAGCATATTTTAGGAGGTTAGGCCCTTCGTCCCCACCTTGTAACTTCTCATTCGATTTGTTAAGAACAGGTAAGGCTCCCTGCCAGAACCCCCACCCCCCTGGGGAGTAAAAGGTGGCATTTTTCTGTTTGTCATATTCTTTGAAAAAAGGAAAGTATTAACTTGGACTGATTCCTCTGCAATTTTGTTGCACTGGCCATAAATCCTGATTCATAACAACATATCACCAGCATATATCATATCCACTTTGATCAAGACAAATCATTCAAAATGAACCAAAAAACTGAACAAGAGTCTTGAACTTAGTCATTTTACCATTGCATATTTCACATCTAAGTCTCCCCAGAATGAGTTATACAATCAGGTGTAGCAATTTTATCCAAATACAAGAAATCTTATGAATCGGGTCAACTTGGAACCTAGTATAATTCGAGAGGCAAATAGCAGCAATTAGGGCGCTAAGTTTTAAAAGTGGCATAAGTATTGACACAAAGCAGGACTAATTCCTACTTAAACAGTACATCTTATTTGTGACATGACATTGAAGAAGAAAGTTATTATCTTCAATAAGGAATATGAAATAAGACAGCCATGGACATCTGACGACTAACCACCCATTTGGTTGGGGGGTTTAGCACCTTTCAATGGGAATGAGAGGGTAATGATTGGCATTGATGGTGTTTGGTACACCGCTATGGGTTTTTTCATTACCCACTTTAGGTCTTTCATTACCCAATACTCATTATCCACTTATTTGGGCACTTTCACTCCCATTAACAATCAAGATAAAAACAAAAACAAACTAAAAAATAGGGAAGGAAGAGGACGAACAGCAGCATCTAATCTCCAACTTCTCCTATCTTGCCTCCCCCCTTTTGTTTCATCCTAATCTCTCTCTCCTGCCTTCTTTCTCCCTCTCTATACCATACAATTTCTCCCCCTTTTCTCTCTCAGAAGAAGTTTTGGTCTGATGAGATTTTTTTATTTTTTAGTAACAATTTTGAATTTAAAGTTTGTTGGATTGTTGTGTAATACCAGAGATCATTGTATCTAGCAGTGTTGAAGACAATGAGAGGTCGGAGAGGCGGAGGTGGCAAGGGCAAAGGGATGAAGAGGACCACAAAAAACAAGGAAAGAAGAAGACAGAAAAGGAACAAGAACAGGAAAATGAACAACAAAGATTGGGAGATCGGTCAGCAGCATGCAAGAAGCAAAAACAGAGAAAAAAAATGGTGGTGGTCAAATGGGCTGGAGATGAAGAAAAAGAAAGAAAAGGACAATAATTTCCTTTTCTTATGCAAAAAATCATTGCCACCAAACACAAGATTCCATCAAAAGGAATCTTCACAAACCCATTGTAATTGAGGGTGTCTTCCATAATGATTGTCATTGTCATTCCTTAGTAGTGACCAAATGAGTGGTAAATCTCCATCTTGTTTAAAAAGCTCTGGCGATATGCAACTGACAGGAATAATAGCCGTCCATATGAGCAAAAAAATTTCCAAAAAAGAAAAAAAAACTCTTGATCCTCTTGGTCCTGCTGTCCCTTGGTTTAGTTTGGTGTGGGGGAAAAGCATGTGCCTAGGCTCTCCTTTATTCTATGGTTGACATGTAAAAGAAGAATAAACATAAAGGATAGACTTCTCTCTTGGGGTATTGAAGTGGATGTTAGGTGTGTTTTGTGTGGGTCTGCTCCTGAAAATACAGATCATTTATTTTTCTATGTCGATATTTATGCAGTATGGGAATGTGTTCAAAAAAGCTGTTTGCTTTATAGGATTGCAGCTCATTGGAGAGAAGAGTTAGCATAGTTCATGCAGCATTGCTCAGCAAACTCTTTTTGTTTTGTGTTACTGCACTTGCAGCAACAGTCTATCATTTGTTGACGTGGAGGAATAAAAAGGTATTCAGGGATGTGCTTGTTCTTACTGAGCATGTGTTTCATGAGGTGCTTGCTGATATTAGAGGTATAGCAGCCAGATGGAATCGTGTAGCAAGGATACAGCCAAATGTGGACTTGTGTACTGCACTTGGGATTCACTTTAATGTTTTCCAGTTAGCTAGGTAGGTACTGTATATGTTTGGGTTTGTTATTGTATTCCCGGTAAGAACTAGATGTATTGATTGGGGTACTCCCCCTTCTGGGTATACTCTTTATTGCTGATCAATGGAAAAAAAGGAAGCTTACCAAAAAAAAGACAAAAAACTGAATATAGGTGGCACTGTTTTTTTTGGGTCCTATTCTTTGGAAAAAAAAGAAGAAAAGATTAACTTGGACTAATTCCTCTGCATCTTTGTTGCACTGACCATGAATCCTGATCAGTGACAGCATAACACCAGCACATACGATATCCACTTAGATCAAGTGGGACAAATCATTCAAAATGAACCAAAAAACTGTACAAAAATATCAAATTTAGTCCATCACACTTTCCACATATAAGTCTCTCCCTAGAATGAGTTCTACAATCAAGTGTAGCAATTAATCCAAATACAAGAAATCTTATGAATCAGGTCAACTTGGAAGCAAGTACACTTTAAGAGGCAAATAGCAAGAAATTGGTTTAGTTTTAAAAGTGACACAGTATTGATGCAAAGCAGGCTTAATCCCTAATGAAATGGTACATCTCAGTTGTGTGATGATATTGAAAAAGAAAATGATTATCTTCAGTAAGGAATATGAAATAAGAGAGCTATGGACATCTGACAACTAAATCTCCATATTGTTTTAAAAAGCTCTAGCAATATGCTACTGGCAGGAATAAAAGCCTTCTATGTGAGCCAAAATTTTCCAAAAACCAAATATTCCACCAACTATACAAGTAAAAAACACTTGAGTTCCTCAAAGATCAGGTTGATGAGAAGCTCTATAAGACATGCTAACAGCAATGATGCTAACATTTGAAGAGATAAACTGCACATTTTAGCATTTGACATTTTTTATGATTTCTCAACAGGTTGAATACTCTTCCAAATACGGTTTCTGAGAGTGTGTACAGGATTGAGGACTTTTGGCAAGAAAAAGATTTCATGTTGTATTTTGGTGTTTGAGTTACACGAGCTTTTGCTAAGGACAAAAAACCAAAAACACCTTGCCATGGAAATGCAATTTCCGCCTACCAAGTTATTTAGCTCTTCCTAATAAGTTTGATTGCATCAAAACAAACCACAAACTTCCAACCAGTCCCTTTATGTGCTTTCACTTTTACAGATAGTAGTCACCAAAAGGAGAAAGTTATAAATAGCTCATTTTGTACAATAAGCCAAAGTTATTGCTAAATGGCAATGAGAAGTCTTAAATAGAGAATGGAGAAATGTGGGGAAGCATGAGAACGAACCTTTAAATCAGATTGAAGTGTAAAAGAAACTTTCCAAGCTTTCTGAACTTCATTAAAAAGAAGGACGCACTGATCATTTGCATGTTTTAGAGCTTGTTTAAGTCCCAAAACATCTTGCTTCAAGTAGCTGATCTCCGTCTCTTTTTCATACAATTCTTTACGTGCATCATTTGCCTGCATGCACATTGATCAGAAGAAGAAACTGTATAAATATGGATTATCGTGATCCTGATACCAGTTCTTGTACAAACCACAACTATTAGATCATGGTATGGTCATGCTTGTGTTTAGGCATGGAGTGATCAAACTTGTCTTTGTATCATGAAAGGTTTTCCCTTTTCCCTTTCTCCCCTCCCCCGTTGGGTTACCAGATGAAAATCTAACTACAGGCCTTCCCATTCTCTACCTCTCCCATCTTCAAAGATGACTAACAAACGGTTAAAGCAATGTTAAAAAGCAACACTTTGTCAGTTCAGAAAACAAAAGAATATTTGAAGATGTCTTACAATATCCCTCCATTTCTTAATCGTATCTCGATTTCCCAGGCTGAGAATAGAGTTTCGGGCTCTGGCAGCAAAGTTAAGGGATGATAGTGTCTCAGTCAAATTTGCAGCATTTGGAGAGACGTTAACAATTACCAAGCTTTTCGAGCTTCCACCTAGATTGTCAGCATAACATAAGTTAGAGCTGGTCTAACATTGATATTTCATGGGCAGACAGATAAAAACTCATTGTTGCAGCCCAGTAAACAAAAGTGCTAACTATAATGTACAATTGTGCAAAGTATCTAAATTATTATTAATTACCAATAAAAAAAGTCACAAACAAAATGTTGGATATACATATTGTCGAGTAACTCAGAAGGTTATCAAATATTAGCAGAATAATTAAGATGTGCAAGACACATCGGTGGAAAAAAGTTAAAGAAACAAAAAGGTGTCTTTATAGTGATGTTGGTTCTCTTGTGGACAACCAGGAAGAACCATCATGAGAAAGAGAAAGTAGAAAATATTGATAATATATATTCAAATCCATCAGGCAATTTTGTCATGCAGTGAGAATTCTTCACCAAATTAGTTCCACAACAATGATTAAAAGATACTCTCCAGATTATTTTATCCGCTATGATGTGGTACAAACTTAGGCAATTTTGTGCAATTTTTGCTCAAAAGGCTCTACTTGACTCTGAAACAATCACTGGAGTGACACTTAAATGCTTGTCATGGTAGAAGTCCCAAAAGCACTTGGATCAAATCTTCCATTCATTCTGAAATGTTTTTCCATATACACACTTCAGATATACCTTTAGATGTCATTTTCTGCTTCATGAGCTCTTCCTGTTTCCTGCCTATATTTGTACTTCTGATAAGTGTCCTACAACCTCTACACCTAAGATGAGCCTCTTAATACTATTCCTTTTTGAAGGCTCCAGAATGGCAAGCGGTTTGGTGTGCTACTCATTCATGTATATATATGTGATAATTACCAGCCCCATGGTAGTGAAAAAACACGTCTACAACATTCATGCCTTTTACAAATCGTCATCATCATATCTTATTCAACAGTTTGACAGCAGACAATAATCCTTGACCTCAATACTGTGTCCCAGGAGTATCCAAGTGTTATATCACAGTATACCATGTTAATTCCCGTCCAAGTTTATGTTTCCTGTATGATTCAAGATAAAGGAATATCTTTCAAGATCAAGGAATATCTTTCAAGATCCTCCCTTTCTCCCTCCATCTCTCTGATTGACTTGTATGAATACTATTGGTTTACCCATCTCTTCCACCTAGGCAATGCTTCTGAATAACTTTCAGAAATTTAGACAGTCCAGCAAAGTGTTTGATGAGATTTCAAAAAGTTATGCAATTTGGGGGGCAGTTATGTTCTCCAAGTATGCTTAGGCAGGTTGTGTGGCATTTATGAGGTTGTCATTAAACAGTTCTCAGAATTGGTGTCTTCTAGTCTCCAGCAGGAACCCTATATGCCTGTAAAGAATTCTAATTGAATGATATGAATTATGAAGAGAATGCTTGCTTTCGGATACGCCTTTTGGAGTAAGTTTCTCCTCATGGACCTTTTCTGGAGTGGAAATCAAAATTAGGGGTTGGTGGCAGAGGTCAATGGAGATGGCAGAAGTGGGCAACAGAGATTACCATTTGCCATTGGTAAAGTCAGAAGCTAGTTGTTTTGAATTGGCATGGAGGTTATCCAAATACAACATTCATTTTGCTCATAAGTGAATAGATTGTATTCTGCTTACTTTTTCTGAGATGCAATCTATACCCTGCCAAATTCAACTAGAACAGCTGTTTACCAGCCCAGGCTTATCAGTTGTGCCAAATAAGGACTTTGCTACAAGCAAATGTATTATACAAAAGAGAAAAAATACCTAGTGAATCTGCAAGTAATTTTGTGAGCACTGAATTTCCATAAGGAACTGTTTCCTTATTGGATGTTAAAGAAGCCAAAACATCTCCCAAACTGCACAAACAAGGACAAGCATAAGAAAAGCTGAAATGCGTCAGTTTTCCTAGAAAAAATAAGTTTATGGTAACAACCAATAAACCCTCTGCTCTGTAAGAAATAATACATACGCTAACTAACAACAGTCTTTGTTATCTCAAGCACCAAACAGAACAATCACCAGTTATCAAGAGTCCTGCCTAACCCAGTGACCAACAATACATGCAGACACAGAAAAGAACTCAACCTAAGAATTAAGTTACCATGAAATGTGTACTTGTTCACCAGACAACATACAAACAACAACAAGGAGAGAAGGAGCTAGTTACAACTAAAGATAGTGAATGCAGGAATTAGTTTAGGACATCAAAATTTTGAAAGTATAATGTAAAACATTGATTTTAGTTTGATCCATACATGGCAGAGTTGATAAGCAGCAAGGTTGCACGTTAGATGTTCTTTCACAAGGGAGAATTGAAACAATGAGGTTATGCTGAAAACAAGGCAACTAAATATACGAAGTACATACGCGGAGAGTGATTTCATGGCATGCAGCAGGTCTGTCACACGTTCTCCACTATCATCTTCAACATTGGAACTTGCACTTCCAGCCAAATCAACAAGAGAAAGCTTGCTATATAAGTTCTCACCCGTAATCAAGTTGTCATAATATATATGCACAGTGATGACCCTGAGGAAGGAAATGAGAATTCTCAAGAGAAAGCTAGACAGTAGAATACAACTGAACATAGATGTTTCCTGAAGCCCCACGTAATTCATACATCAAATACAGCAACAAAATTGCATAAGGATCGAAAGACAGCTTTTTGTAAGTCCAAGAAGTTTCTTCAGGCCAGTCAAAGAGTGCTACACTTAATCATTACTTAAGAAGCAAAAAGGGAATGATTTAGTCAACACATCAAGAAAAATGTTCAAAATACCTCAGGATTATCAGTAGAAGGAAATTGGACCCTAACATACCATATTCCAAAAGTACTGTCTAAGTGGAGAAATAAACAAATCCTGGTTGAGTAACACGTTATTGCTGCTGACCAATTACTCATCAGAAGGGATGATAATGGGCAGGGAGCCTTCTTGAATCCCTTTCCCTACTAGTAAAGTGCGTGACACCACTTAGACAACCCCCCCTCCCAAAGGGAAAAAAAAAAGCACTCAGAGTTGACAACAACCCCTGAGTTTTGGTTGCTAGATACCATCACAGTTTTGAATATTTGATATGATTATTTAATATTTCCAAATGTGAGTCAAATATAAAAAAAAAAATTCTGAAGATCTAATGCCAAATTTGAACTGAAAAACTTTTAACTCAAAATGAAAAACAACATAAAATAACGAGCAAGCATATATTAACACAAACATGCAACAAATAGAGTGAAACCGTTACTTGTACAACTTAAATGTTAAATATTTCTACATACAGATAAAATGAGGAAAATCAGCCCTGATGCAGAGACCAACAACCACCCCCATACCCCTAGCCACTTACAAGTGGAGAGTTTTGGCTCCTAGACCTGCCCTAACTACCAGATGTCAAGAATTACATAGAAATCAAGCAACAATACCCAATGTATCAATTTTGTGCTGTTCCTTCAATAGCAAAAGCGTCTTAAAGTGCAAATTTAATCATTGGTCACTAATCGTTCCAGGATTTCCATAATTTATGCCAAAAGAGAATTGATGGCTTTTAACAAATCATTCAAGAGGATCTTTGATTTTTTTTTCTTTTTCCAAAAAAAGGGTAGCAAGGGGAAGACCATGGTGAGTAAAAAAATCAAGCCATAAAAGGAGCATGCATTGGTAGGGAAATAGAACTATCACAAATTTGAAGCTAGACCATACAGATGAGAGACGTTAAACTTTAATACATCGGTTCCTCGGTTCTGCAATGCCACTTTGAGGACTCGGGTGAAATCAATTGGATTCTCAACTTTTTCCTGCACAAGTTCAGCAACATAATCTGTGGAGCCCATCTGGATCTTTGGAAGACCACTCTGAGATTCCAAAAGCAAATCTCTAATCTACAGAATAATGGTTACTGAATGTCAAGTATTGCTAAATAGAAGTCAATATTTAAAATAAGCAATCCAGAATGGTCAAGGAACCTGTTCATTGAAAAGCCCAAAAGCCGTGAGAGAGAAATTAAATTTTGAGGTAGAAGTTGTATCTGAGTTGGATAAATCAAACAGCTCCTCAAAGCATCGAGCATATAGGCCACGATCATGGCTAGATCCTTCCTGCGGACAAGACCTTGCAATCAGAAAGCAGTTCATCATAGTATTAACCCCCCAGGTAGTGCTTTTCAGCACAAAAACATCAGGTTACAAACATCTTTATGCGGTCATGTTTGTTCAACATAAGCATACAACAGTATGCTTAATCAAGAAAGTGTCCTTATAGAATTATTTACAAGTCAAAGCAATTTAATGATGATGTGTACCATGTATGGATGAAGAACCCGTTAACCCGAGATTTAAAAAAAAAACACAGGGTGAGACATAACTGCAATACCCTACACAGAGAGAGAGAGAGAGAGAGAGACCATAGTATGTGTCTTTCCTGACTGCGTTTGTCCATAAGCAAATATAGAAACATTATACCCATCAAATGCCGACTGCACAAATGGCTGAACATCAGCGAAAAGTTCAGCTGCAGAAAGGAACATCACAGTGACTTAACATTCCAGAGTGTTAGACGAAAACAAATAAAAGCTAGTAATAAGGTCCACTACCTTGTGCAACATGAGGACCATAAACCCTGTCAAACTCAAAATCCTTCTTTGGATTGGAGACGTTATCATCACCAGTATTGACACGAACAGTACAGTCATCCGGAAACTCAACAACTGATGGACCTTCATCTTCAAAAAGTGGTCTTGCACGACAATATACCTTAATGCTTCCTGAAACAGTACATCCAGCCTAAATCTCACATCAATTTAGTAAAATATTCGTCCTATTATATTTCTTGTTCCCATTTTTTGTGCATGTGTGCCCACAGGGAATGAATTGTTTGTGAATAATGACATCTCTCTCTCTCTCTCTCTCTCTCTGTTTGCCTGTCTATCTCTATCTCAAAAAGGAGTCTTGCACGACAAAATACCTTAATGCTTCCTGAAACAGTACATCCAGCCCAAATCTCACATCAATTTAGTAAAACACTTCTCTCATTTTCTGTCTTTTTCCCATTTTTCGCTTTTTTTGTTGTTCATATGTACCCACAGGGGACGAAATTGTTTGTGCACGCGTGTGCATGTTTGTGCCACTCTCTCTGTATTTATCATTTTCTCCCATCTTCCCCTGATTTTGTGCATAGGCGTCAGTGACAAAAGGAGTCCAGAGGCCACTCAAAATCCTACCTTTAGCCGTCAATAAGTCATTAAACAATTTTTTCTTCTCATATATCAGCGGAGACATTCTAGCTTCCATTTCAACCGCAGCCTGATCTGAAAATAATTCATGATTAAGAAACCAAATCACCCACGAAGATATGCAGGCAAACAAGAATGGATAAGCTACAGCTCTGATGTAGAAAATATGCAATCAGATGAAACAAGAGCTGCCAAAGCCTATGAATAACCATTTACCTAGTTTACGAGTTTTATCAGCAAGTACACCTAGATATCGCATCAAGCGATCCATTTTTGCATTTGAGTACTCTTGAAGATCAACGGCTTCTTGTCTAAGCTCCATGTAATCCTCTCTCACATGCTGCTCAAAAATGTTTATGTAGATTGCCAACAGAAAGTACTAGAATATTAGCAGAAGCCAACAACATATTCAAGCTGAAACAACACAATCAGAAATGCAAGATTTTAGAACATCACAGATAGGCCAATAATTGTTTCAAACATGCACTTCATTAACTAAATTCCAAGCCTGACAGAAGGTATATTACTTCCTCAACTGCAGTAACAGACACTAGCATTAGCTTAGAGTCTTTAATGCTGTTTTGAATGCCAACAAAGAGAAAAAACCAGAATTCCAAAATATTACAAACTAGAATGTCTGTACTAGTCCACATCAATGCATGCCATAAATTACTGGCTTAATATTAACAGGTCTTGCCAAGTCGAACTCCAGCTGAATGCATACTAAAACTCCAATTGGTAAAGTTGATATTGCAAAGGAGAGAGCTAATTATATTTTTCCTTCTGCCAAGCTCCAAATATGGTCTACATTGTAAAGCAGATCTAAACTATTTTATTCTTTTGCAACCACAGAAAAAGTAAAATTCTTTGCTGAAAGGAAAATAAGCAAAGATTGCAAGAAATAGATATTTCCATTATAGCCTAAATTTCCAATTATAGAGAACTAGATAAGGCAAATTGACAGAAAAAAAATCATATAACTCATGCCTACCTGGCAATGTGTTATAATTTGTTCTGAATTTCTCTGTTATAATTTGCTACAGTTTTTCTATGAACAAAAACAAAGTATGATTTTCCTACTTTGAATTTCCTTTCTCACCAGTCATAAAAATTCTCCATTTGTTGTTTCTGCAAACAAGTCATCAAAAGCTTATAGCAGGTTAGATGATTTGACTTCCAACACAACCATTACTGCCCAACAACTTATATTCAACTTCCTCAACAGGAAGTTGATTTTCTCTAGTATGTACAGACTTAGTTGATTTTCTCGACAGCTACTAGGGTTGGACAAAAATGATTAAAAACTATTGTTCCAGGTCAATAACCTCTTCTCTCATCTTTGTGTGTGACACAGTAAAATAGAGATGATATGTATGACCTTATAGATTTTAAGCATTAAAAGTAAATGAAATGTCACAAACTCATCTATTCCACCATGGGCAAACTCCTTCACCACACCCTTCTATTCTTTTTTACAAGTCTTTTCATGGTGTAAGGTATAGTTTAGCCTCATTCAAGTTCAAGAAGAAGAAAGGGAAAAAAAATCTGTTGATGAGACATAATAATCAAAAAGGCTAACAACAATTGTCTAAAGTTATTAGGCTGAGAACATCTATATCTCTCAATAATGCATCAGTGGAGTGTGTATCGTATCAACTGCAAAATTACGCAATAATAACCAATGTTTACTGGTTCATTATCAGTGGTATGGACTTGTCTGTGATCTTGGCTTTCCATTCTTTAAGAATATTAGACTGAATGTATTATGGAATCACTTAGCTGAAACTACAGTAGTGCAAAGGTATTCCTATTTCTTCTTGTTGGAGTTTTCTGATATTTGCAATCCTTGCTTGAGCTATCACTCCAGCAAATCAATTAGAACAGAAATTTCTATTGTGAAAGGACCCATGCATGCTTTTCACCATATTGACCATGCCAAGCTTTGAATGTTCAACTATATCTAAAAAAAAATTGAAGAGAATGTCAATCCTGCAACACAGCATTGCCCTTTAAGAAGTTCAGAATTTAGTACCAAATTCTATTATTAATAAAGTATTTTTCTTATAGGAACTGCAGTACATTTTAGTAATTTCTTCCCTCTCCCTTTCTTTGGTTAGATTCTTTACATATATGATATATCCAACACCCGCCAGAAATCTAAAAGAGAGGGAATACCCATATAGTTGTAATCTTCCTAATGAGTGGGCCATTCAATTTAATTTGGAGTGCAGATTCTCTATAGTATAAGAGATGGGCTGTGTTATGTCACCCAGCAAGGAAATAGATTAAAGATTGCTGCTGGAACAAATACCACAATGAAGATCAATTACATTTCAAGTAGAACTTTGCCAGATCTGACTCATGTCCAGATTGAAAAATAATGTCTTCTGACCATACAGCAACTTTTACCAAATTTTTTCTTGAAATGGTTATTAAAAACATTGCAGCCCTTTCAACTAACCGAAAAAGTATATGCCACCGCCAAGATCATCTCATGGCTTAACCATGAACAATCGCATATTGAAGTGAGGTGGCAACAATCCAATCCTGCAAAATTCAGCAGCAACTATCTACAAATGGGATACCCCCAGCTCACAACAACCTTTAAGCTTTAAATGAAAGCCAAAAGAGATAAGGCAAAAAAAGAATTACAACTCCCCAGTGACTGCTATTCCCAAGTATACAATCTCCAGCCAGTTTTGATAATGCAATATCGCTATACAAGGTTGCTGGTACTATAATTCTTTACTAAGACTACCAGGGCTACAGCCATTGCTATGAAAATTACATGAAACAAAAACAGTAAAAGTATTTCACAAGCAGTTGCCTCAGTCCCTTTGCATCTAAACTATCTCCAGCTGCCTACCGCAGCCATGCTGAAACTAAAATTCACAACTAAAATCAGGTAAAGTTTGTCATTTTGGCGCCTTAAAGAGAACTCTAAAATCTTCCCCAGTTGCCCCATCACTGTTTGGGATAATCGTCACCCTACACTTCATCTCAATAAGAAAGAATTCTAATAACGTTGTCAAATCCTATAGGCCCACACACTGTTCAGTATCAAACCACCACTAACAAGTTTTATTTTCCTCACTGTTATCAAAAAGATAATCAATTTCTTGCTACAAACTGAAAACCTCTACTCTCAACGACTTCTCCTCCAAATTAGCCCAAAAAAAAAAACGCATCTTTGGTACAAGAACTCCTAGAAATAACTACTAGCATAACGGAGTTAACTACTAATTTGTCAACACAACAACTCACTAGATGGACAAAAACAGCAACAAAATCACAAATTTCCAAGTACATTGCCGCAAATCGTCATAAAAGCATTAAAACTGGCATAATCTTCATCCATTATTGAACGTGAAAAACAACCGAAAACAAAAAAAGTTGAACTAAAAAAGTGAGACCTCGACTTTATCCTTCAGTTTGAAAAGCTTGGAGCTGAGAGCATGCTTGGAGAGCTCAGAATGCGTCGAAAATGAAGACGTAGAAATCGAGTACCTCCGAGCCAACAGCGGAGGTCTCTGATAATGATCCTCCCGCTCCGGTGACTTCCTCGGCGGCTCAAACCCCGTCACCTCCCAGTTCCACCTTCCTTTCTGCTCCGCCATCCAATCCAGTTCTAATTTACACCAATAATTTACAAATGCGAATCAAAAATTCACAAATGAAGTTAAATAAAAGAAACAATAATGAGAGATTGAGAATGTGGAATTCTCTCTCCCTCTCTCTCTTTGTTGCTCTCCCCCCCCCTCAGCACTGCTCAGTTTCTCTCTCTAGCTTTTGTGGAGTATTACTGGTCACTCAAATGAATTCCCTCTTTGTGAATTTCGATTGCTTTTAACTCTTTTTCATTTCATTTTAGTTTTTTTTCCCCTTTAGTTTTGGAAGACGTTGAAAACGACGACGTAAGAAGTTCAAGGAATTTGCATTTTTGTTGGGCTGGGCGTGAAAAAACGACCACGTAAGAGGAGGTCGAGTGATTTGTTTAGTGGACACTTTTAAGCTTTGGTAGTCACAAAAAATTTAGGGCTTCGGATAATTTGAGGACTCGCTCTCAATCTTTCATCACGGGGATGGTACCTTTTGCTGCATGTGGTATACCTTTGTGCTTTGCTTTAATTCTTGTTCCGAGGGAGAGTTAAATTGGAGTACTTGATTCAGAGTTGATGAACAGCAAGCAAATTTCCTCTCAAGCAAGTTTGATTAGCCTCCTGAAGTATTTGAGTTTTGGTCTTGTTTGGATTGCTATCTTTTAGAATTTTTGTAGAAAAAAATACTGTAGCGAGTTGATTTATGTGAGGTAAAGAAAATAATTAAAAAATGTATTCACGGAAAATGCAAAAAATTTTTTAAAAAAAATTATTTTTCCAAGCAAATATGATTGGATGTTGCAATGTGTCATAGCAACCATAACGTTGCTTAACTATCTTTCTGCCACCTGCTTTTATGCAGATATCAACGTGCCTTGAACTGTCTCCATTGATGTTATCATTTCTTGACCAAATTGCTACAATTTGAAACGCCAATTGGAGGTTAAAAACATGTTAATCTTATCCGGGATCAGATTTGAGGAAATTGTTGTATTTGTCAAAGTCTTCGATTTCTTTTGATCTCTGAATGAAAACATAATAGGGGTTGTCACCAAGAACAGATTTGAGTTGCTAAACCATAGACTTTCTGAACTTGCTTGAGAGAGCCACTCCATTTTACAATTCATATTCCGCATCATGGAAATAGAGTTGCAGATTTGATGCCTTTCACCATTACAAGGCCTTAATTATGGACTGACAAAATGATACATCTGTTCCTGTACTCAACCCGTTTAGATGCCATAATTTTTCCCTGCTTAGCTCTTTGTCATGGCGAACTCCTAAGGATGTAATTAAAGCAAACATATTATTATAACTCCAGATACGTTGTCTAAATTCCCTAGATTTAAGAGTGTTTGCTTTATAAAGCTGCAAGAGTTTATCTGGCATCTTTTTTTTTCCTGCCAAACGGACTTTTCTGACTGCACAACAAAATCTTGACGGTTTCATATAAAAGCGTTTAGCATGACTTGATTCATATAATAGGCACAATCTGGAATGGACAGCAAGATACTTGGTTGTGCTGACAATGTGGCCACTGCAACTTCAGCTATAATACTGATGGTGGAATAAATGAAACTGGAAACATCCATTACAATAGTTGAGTGTCCGATGGCTATGGAAAACCTACCAATATGAATAGGAGAAGACAGCTACTGAATATTGATGTCAAATGATGGTGAAAGTGAAAATGTTTTCTATGACTGCATCATTTCTTGCAGGAAGGCAGATTATATGCCTAACAGAGTCAAGATTTTGCTATTCACTGTCTGAATAATAAACGTAGGGAAAAAGATACGTGAAAGGGTGAAGGATAGAAGCACTACATCTGTTGTATTAGAAATTGGCATGACAGGGCAAATGGAAACAGGAGCAAGCAGACTCTTTTTTTATTAATCAATACTAGTAGTATTTTGAGCTTCATCGATCGAAACAGACTCTTTTTTGTGTCTGGCTACCTCTGCAGCATATCTTTCTCCTCGTCGTCGACGATTTCTTTCTATACAGCATTCATCCTGGGAGCAAAACTTGCGCTTTCGAGATAATGCATGTTATAATCAATGCTATTGATAGTTGCATATGATACTCAAGCAATAATTAGGTGAACAGAAATGGTGGTTACGATAATACAAAGGGTTAAAAGCAAAAAAGCCTCATGTGATATACCTAATACATAAAAAAGCCGTCCGTGATTTCAAAACATACAAAACGACACCTCATGTTTTGAACTAAATTGTAAACTAACACAATTCGTTAAAGTTAACAGAATCCGGTAAATTTAACAGAAAACTTAACGGAATCTGATAAACTTAACGGTAAACTTAATGGAATCCAGTGAGTTTAACGAATTCTTTTAGTTTACAATTTAGTTCAAAACATGAGGTGTCGTTTTATATATTTTGAAACCATGAGGGATTTTTCTGTGTATTAGGTATACCACATGGAGTTTTTTTGTTTTTAATCATTATAAAGCCACAAAGCAATGAAAGGAATCTTGCATTAGTAGCAATAAAGGAACCTTATATCAAGTAATAATTGTGACATAAAATGATATGGAGTTTCTTTTACGTGATACATACAAGGTATAAAGCATTGAAGGTAGCAGTAGAGGGCACAGGAACTTCAATAAAAATGTACAAGCATTCATAATAAATCCAGAAGAGAGAAATAGGTAGGGAAAAAAAACAAGAATAACAACAATGCCCACTATATATTGCTAGAAAATAAACTACGATAAGGTGATATGTTTTTACATATAAAGTAGGCATACATGCAAATACATGCAAGCCAAAAAAGAATAGAAAGGACAAAGCAATCACATGCATCAGTGATCTACGATAAACAGATGGTAGACATATTCATTAGGTAACAGGGCAACTCCAATCCTGAAGGTAAATAAGTAAGTATTTTATGGTGATCAAGTGGATTTTAAGAACTGAAATGAATAGCCACCTATACAATCCCAAAAGAAAAAAAAAAGGAAAAAATTTAGGCTGCAAAACTAAAATGGCAACATAGTGAAAAGGCTTAAATGCTACTGGAAACATGTTTGAAATTTAAAAACAAAAATGGGAAACAAAGCAAGGTGTTCATGAAAATGCGAGCATTCATAAAAGTTAAAGGAAGAGGTGGGGAATATGCATACTCAATATTTTTGTTTCCTTATGTAAAGCAGGACACATGAAAGACTAGCAAAGGTTGTCAGATATGATGGTCGAACTCTATTTGGCAGTCAAACAAGAAAATGCAGTTAGGAAGAAAGGCGCGGGAAAGCGACGGTTATATCGAATACAAAGCAAGGGAGTACTGTAAACAAATAGATAGACGAAGGAATTAAGGCAAAAATTGCGATACAACATTGCAACATGAAGTAAAAGGTGAGAATTTTGTCAGGAGAAAAAGACTGAGAAAGGAGACATAAATGCATGATCATAAACAGAAGAAATAAATAAGGGCGGATAATCATAGGCTATATATGCATCTCTGATCAGGTAATAGCAGTCAAAAAGAAAGAAGAAGAAATAAGTCACTAATGCAACAAAAGCAGTGGCAGATTTAAGGTGGGGGCACGGGCCTCCACTGCTCCCCTTAAATTTCTATAATATCCATAGAATTTTGATATAATTTTAAGTGTGTTTTCAGAGTTTTTTTATGAAATAAGTGAAAGAATTATGTGATTTTTTAAATTGATTCATGAACTAATATTCTAAAAGAATATGTGAGTCACAAAATTTCATTTGAAGTAAGTTCAAATAAGTCTTTTTCATTTTAACTTGTTGGTGAATATTTTTTTACTTAAAAAACTAAAAAAGAGTAAGTAAAAAATTTTAGTATTGCTTTTGTCCCTACTGAAAATTTTTTCTGGCTCCGCCACTGAACAAAAGTATAAATTTTAGTAGTATACAAATCATGAAACTAAATATAAAACAAGTATAAAGCAAAACAAAAAGATTCTTACAGATAAAAGTAAGAATCAGAAAACAGCAGCTTACCAACCGGGAGATACAGAATAACGAAAGAGAAGATGAAAAGTGAGCAGCAGTGAAATAAAGTACAAGAAAGTTAGGTCAAAATATATAAGCAATAAGAAACGTAATTATGACCAATGAGCTTTGAAGTCTGTCTCTAGCAGAGACCCAACAAATGAGAAAGCAGATGAAGCGTATTTAACTATGATCAATGGCCATAAGATAATTTGAGTGCCAAATAAGCAAATGGGCACATTTGATGCAGATTATAAATTAAAAAGAGTTGATGTAAGAAAAGTTTTAAAAGAAACGGTGCACAACATTTATTTTTTGTAAGTAGAAAGTTTTAAATTTTGAAAACCTCCTATTTATAATTTCTCTAATCTTACCGTTCAAGACTCAATCCTTCTTCCAAGGTACACAATGTAATTGCATGGGAAAGACAAACAAAGCAATAATACTCGGTCAATAAACCAAACATAAACATAGGGAAACTACTACAAAAATAGTCTTTAATGACACATCTTGACACTTTTAGAAAAATGTCATAATACAATCTTAATATGACATGCAATAGGAATGGTCATTAAAAAGAAAAAGAAGACACCATAACGACATCGTAATGATTGGAAACATATTGAAAAAAAAAACAGAAAATGCTGAAACTCTCCACTAAGGCGCCTTTTTTTCAAAAAATTTGTAAGCCCTTCTCCAGAACCTATCTGATCTCAAGCTCTACTCTTTCATCCCCAATTTTGGAGCTTGTTTCTGCTCATTTTGCTGGGATTTCAGGATAGAGTCCCTTGTAGAATAGTAGAGCTCATGAGAATACATGGTACTTCTAACAGATGTTATAAGGTACATGTTAGTATGGGATAAGCCTACTGCATCTGAGATTGTTTGACTCTAATTAGGGGCTTGTCTTCCTAGAAAACTATGTGAATGTGTTATGCATTTCTGGTCTCCATGTTTTATTGTAACTTTACTTCAGGGTTAATTCGCATTTCCATATTGTATTACTATTCGTTCTCCTTATCTTGTGGAATTTCTGGTTTTGTAATAAATCAGCCTGCTATTTATTGTTGCCTCTTGAATTTCACTAGAAACCTAAAGATCATGAAGTGAAGTATGGTAGTTGCCTTTTTGCATTTCAACCTGCATTAGATAGATGATTATTAATGAACTTCGGTAGCTGACAAACTAGTGGTTATGTTGACTTTCTAAACATAGTAGCTCTGTACCATTAGTAGACAAA